TACCATTTTTCATTAAGAAGAATTTCTGTTCTTAAAAGTTTTTCCCCAACGAAACATGATCTATTTTGATCTATATATATAAAGACATGATCTATTTTGATCTATATATAAAAAGAAGCAACCCGAGAAATAATGTAAAATGTTAATAATGTATTCCCGCCACGTACCGAGCTAGGCAGACGTAAGTAATATCATATAAGTCGCCATTTGTGATTTCTTCCAAAATAATGTAATACTATAATTATTAGAAACACATTACGGAGATTTAAGCATAAATGACTTTTGATCATTTGGTCGCTTTAAAGAAAAAGATCAAGCTATATACTTGCCATCTCAGAATCGTCTGCTCCATCTGTCGTGTCACAAGGAAAAGACGATACATCGTCCATAAACGACCAATAGAATGAGCAATGGAAGAATAGTTATCATAGTTGAGTCTCTTTTATGTATTTCTATTATTAACGGGATTTCATTTTTAACATTGTAAGAAACCTTTTTTCAATTTATTGCCATTAGCTTTTCTAAAATAACTAATTGCCTAAGCAATAATTGAAATAAAAAAATAAAATGTAAAATTGTTCCACAGTCTGTGAAAATCTTATAAATTAAAATCTAACTCAATTCCTGTGATGAACTGCAGTTAACTCTGATCAAAACAACGCTTTCACATTACTGACTCATTTTTTTAACTTTCAAGATTCAGTAGTCCAAATTATTTTATCGAAAAGTAATTTAATTTTATCATAATTTTTCCAAAATAGGTTGTACAAAATTGGAATGATAATATATTGAAAGACATAATGCATTTATAATGTTGAAGCACAAAAATAAGAATGAAAAGTTGGAATGAAAAACACGCAGAAAATCAATGATTTAGAAATTGTATTTCATGCATTAAAGGAACGAAGCGTAAAAATAATATTGCTCTCAGTATCCGTAAGAAAGTGACCTTAATTGAATTTCCTTCATACGTGAAAACCAATCCCTACACCACACTCGAAGCGACACTAGCGACCTCACTATTTACGACGCAAATATCGGAATGAACATTTTTCAGTCCATTAGATAAATAAAAACGCTATATTTTGAATGTTAAATTATTGACCTTTGAATAGAATAATTATATATAATATTACATAACAACCCTGTTCTTTTTGTTGAACCCTGTAGAATGAAAATCTCAAAATTAAAATTTTTTTATAAACATACATACGGAATAATCAGCACGTGACTGACGAAGTGTTTCTCCTAATGCTCTCATAAATACATGAAGTCTAGACCCTTGAAAGTGGTGAGTTAAGACTACAAGTTACTATTGAGAAATTACTTTCATTAAAAATGCTGTAGGTGCGATCCAGGGTGCACAAATAGCAGTTGAAATAACGTACGAATCCTGAACTACGAATTGACATCACTCGTACACATCCTCGTATATATTGAATAAAACGATTGAATATTTTCTCAAAAAATATCAAGCGGTATTATTGGCGTTTAACGCATTGGAAAATTCCGGTTTTAATTCTTTACACCCTCTTCCAAGAAAGTGCATATATCATAAATATCTTTTGTGAAAGGATCCAGGGTGATTTGTTGCTGTCAATGATTGCACCACTTTCCATAAGGCGGGCTTTTCTTTCCTTTGCCCCCAGGCAATGCTATCTCCCACACAAGCAGCCGAATGCGAAAAAAAACCTGAGAACATAATTTTAACACACGAAATAAATACAATCGCGAACGTTAAAAATATTTAATAAAACAAACATACGACGCATTTTTTTAAAAAAAATGTAGCATGTGAGCTATTTTAGTACGTTCTTATAAATGACTATTTTATATGCATTTCGGCGTAATTAAAAAATATGTCACAAAAATAAAGTTCCAAAGTCTTTGTTATTTATTGAAAAAATTGCTTTAATTGAATATTTTTATTCTTTTGTTACAAGGAGCAATGTCGTCATATACTTCAAGTTATGAATGATGTAATAAGAACGTTGCAACTTCAACACAAAAACACAACATAAATCGAATAAAAGCATATTTTCTGAATATATTGCACTCAGTACTTAAGGCATTATCAACCTCCGTGCACTACAGTCTCCAATTATTTTCGCGTGCGCTTTGCGGCAAGTGCGTCAACCCTAAAAAGCTCTTTCGTGGAAGGTGCCCGCGGTGATTTGTCGGTGCCGATGACTGCCGTGCGCCCGCCCGCCCGTGCTCGTCCGCCAATCCCCCAGCTCTGATGGTGAGGAAGGAGGGACGGCGGTGGGGCGGCGGCGGCGTGGTGGCGGGACACAGCGCCGGCGTTTCGCGCGGGCCGCCGCCGCTCACCACGCCGCACCGCACCGGCGTCGCGTCAGTCACCCTGGCCTGCGCGCTTTGGCGGGTGCCCGCCTGCCTCCCTAGCCTGGCCTCCCGGTCTGTCTGGTGTTGTCCGCGCGCCCGCGTCGAGCGCAGTCCGCGAGGGCACCCGTGCTGCGTGTGCGGTTAACTTCGTCGTCCCGTGTTGCGAGGATTCTCTACGCGATTGTTGTTTTTAATTTTTTCGAAATTTAGCGAAAATCTTTTTGTCCAACAGTTGTATTCGTGAGTGACATTTTATCGAAAATAGACAACTATCTATTTTGCCAACAAAGAATTTGGCGCATTTCGAAAACTGGCGGAAGTCTTTTACCAACCTACAACAGATTCCTCCAGTAGAGTTTTCTAAAACTGTGAACCTGCTGGCCAAGAGCTTTTGTGATTTTGTAGGTATGTTAATAATATGATGTCATGTAATGGCACGCATTTAGTATTTTTTGGGGAAAATCTTCGAGGTTTTCTCTTTGAAATTGCTAGGGTGGCAATTGTGATTTCTGAGCCTTTGAAATTGAAAGTGAAATTTCCGTGAGTGTAAAAGAAGTGCATTCGTATAAGCAAGAAAAATACATTGACGTCAATTTCTCTTCGCGTGTATTTTTAGTGTATTTGAGGTAGGCTTAGTGGATTTCTGCAATGTGTAGTTATGTATTGAATGAGGAATGGGCATTGGGTATGGGACTGTGCGTTTGTTCTGGCAAAGGCTACCGCTTGGTGTTGAAAAGAGTGCTTGGGCGCGTGTATATTATGCCAATTGATCAGACTAGGGTTAATATAATTCTGGTTTTGAACTCTTTATTTTGACAATCAGACGTTTGGCTAGAAATAACTGATATTCTGGATATGTTCTACATTTTTAATTAGTTCGCCGGTAAATTGAAATGTAGAAAAACGTCACAATGTGTCAGAAAGCTGTCAGCTTCCCAATAATGTTTCCAATCCGAAGTGTAGATTGAATGAACAGTGGACTATACAATATATTAGTCAAATTGGAAAAAATGATTTGCAAATTAACATTTATACTGAATTATACTGAAAATTCTAGTTGGGATTTGTGGTTGAGTGTTGTTTGAAGTTTTATTTAGAATTCCTGATATGATTTGTATAGAATTCTAAATGCAACTAACTTGCTTTTAACTTTTGTTTTGTTGGTTAGATTGTTAGAATGTAAGATAGTCTGTTTAAGGGCATGTCACAAGCCACGCTCGCGAGCCTAGATTGTGTAGGATGTAAATCTGTTGCTGCCGCATTGTTCCCAGTTGTGCACACAATGGAGCAGGCATCAGGGGCGACAGAATTGCATGCAGCGTGAGGCAGGTTCGTCAATCGAGGCTTGTCCGTGTGTGTCTAGCTTTAGTGCAGATAGTAGTTTTTGGCTATATATATGTGTGTGTGTGATGTGTGTGTGTGATGTGTGTGTGTGTGTGTTTGTGTTGTGTGGGATTGCATGAAATTTGCTTTGACTTGTGCTGGCAAGGGAATGGTCAGTGTTGGTTGGGTTCACGTGTACTTGAGCAAAGTTTTAGATGCCGAAATAAACTGGAAGGTTACTATGTATAAAAATTAAATATACAGTTTTGGCACTTCATAGTTTTGGCACTTAAATGTTCCGTCCTCACATTCTCTGCATTGCCAGTAGAATCGAAAAGCCCAGTTCGGTTTGACAGGTGAGATGGGAATACTTGCTAAAAACTATTTAATCCCTCGCGGTAAGAACACTTTAAATAATCTCGATACGAGGTTTGTTAGAGTATTTTTCCAATTTGTTTCGGCAGCTAATATTTGCGCGTGAGCTCCAACAACCACTGAGTGCAAACAAA